ATGTGGTTGAAAAAACCACGAGGAAACGCAATGCTGTTTGCCGAATGTTTAGATATCCCATACACTTTTTACACCAAAACTCTTCTAAGTTTGTATTACATTCAAATGCACTTTTCAAGTTGCTATCGTTTTGAAGCTCTATTAATTTTTCTTACATTTCTTCTTGAACGTTCTTGACTTCGACAGTAAAAAGATTATGAATTAACTTCTTAAAAGCATCAGTGTCTCCTACACCATATTCTGGAAAGTATCTGGTAAATTTTTCTTTAAGGATTCGTAAGTGTTATAATACATTATTTTGAATATCTTCTGTAAAACATTTGTAGTGTTCGTCATTATTGTAGAATTCGCAGTGTAGGAATGCAGAATAAATTTTTACTTGAGTTTTGTTAGTTTGAAGATTTATTTTACAGACAAAATCGCGAACTTTATCTTCAAATACGAAAATATTTGCAGAACCTTCAAGTTTAACATTACCAGAACCTTGCAGTTGCAAATTTAAATTTAAATGGGCAAATATATCCTCAAGATATGCAATTTGCATTTCAATTTTTGGCTCAGTTTGCACATGTAAATAGTTTATACCTTTATCAATTAAAAAAACCTTAAAAACTCTCGAAGCTCAAATAAACGAGCCAATATTTTTCCTTTTGAAAGCCATATTGTTTCAATATGAAATAGTAATGTTTCATGCTCATCGTCCATATTTACACATCATTTTTGAAAAACTCGTGTATTGAGTGCACTATTTTTAACAGCATTGACAAACTGTTTGGATATTTTCATTGCAAAAGCTAAGTCTTTTGATAATGTTTTGGACTCCAACGTTTGACAATATATAATACAGTGCGTTGTTAATGTGGTTGGAATTTTTTGTTTTACCAATGTAGCTAAACCTGAACGTGACCCAAGCATAGCAGGAGCGCCATCGATACAAAATCCAACAAGATATTCCTACATTAGCTTATGCTTTTCAAAATAATCAAGAATTATTTTCATAACGTCAATCCCTGTTGACGTAGTTTTTAATACTTGTGATAGTTATAATTCTTCTTTGATTGTACTATCTTCACTTAAAAATCGAACAAAGATCAGCAATTAACAACAATATGCAACATCCGTACTTTTTCAGATGTTTCAAATCTTGTACTACTTGTACAAAGTTTCATTTTTTTAAAGTTCTCCTTCTTACCTTCAAAGAATTCTCGAAAAAGATTACTAAAATTTGGGAGGACTGTCTTCAAATGTCGTCCCAATTTCGTAGGTTTAAGTGCATAATTATTGAGAACTGTTGTACAAATTACGCACTGTGGTCTTACTTCCTTATTCACTGTAATATTAGTAAAACCAAATTTAATGTAATCATTATTGTATTTTATTTTTGGTGGCATGCTTAATAGCAATATTATACAAATAAATAAATGTTAATTAATCAAACAACGCACAACGCACTTACGATATGACAAATAAATATCATATGAGTAAAAGAATAATAGTATATATTATGAAGATAAAATACGAAACAAGTAGGTTAGTGGATAATGACTACGTGATAATAAACTATAACATATTATCGTCAGGTTATGAGACATAATATTATAGTGGAAAAACACATATAACTACTTATCACATTTCAGATATACCCGCATGACCGAATGTTATTTATATCCGTACATAAATTGTCATTGGTCGCGGGAGTGTATTATCTGACTGTAGGGTACTAAGCCTTAATTTCGTAAATAACAAAAAATATAAAGTATAATTTCGTTCCTTTTTATAAATTTGAATTTCTTCATTCGCGGACCACTTGAGATGAGTCCGCGAACCACCGGTGGTCCGCGGACCTCCCAATTGGGAATCACTGTATTAAATAGTCAGCATACTGATTCACTCTACTATCGTTAGGTATAATGCTCATAAAATATTCAATAAAATATAAAGAAACTTCTCGTGGATTTAAAAATGTGAGCCCAAACATATTTCTAATTCAAGAACCAAGTTCAGAATTTTTTTCTTTATAATCTTGAACTTAACTAAGACTTGAAATTTTTCTAAACCATGATTGTGTCAGGTGAAAGCTACAACCAACTATTAGTATATTAAGACATGCTATAGAAACAGCATCATGAATAGCTTGCTCAAAATCAATTGTGATTGATTTTGGATTCACTGTCAATTTTAATTCAATACATTTAAGTTTAATATGGTTAAATGCATTAACATATGTGTCAGTGGATTTATTAACTAGAAGACAAAACACAACTGGTAGGTATATAATGTCCGTTTTTAAAACTATGTATTGTAAACAGTGGCGGTCAAATGATTTTGTCATGGAGGGAGATGTAGCTGATTTTTTAACAAACACTATACCTATATAAAAATCTTTATTTTTAAACATGGAAATTATATTATATTAATGATATTTATATTATTAAATCTATTTTTCTGGTTTTTTTTGCCAAATCGTCCAGTACTTCGTCTACATTTATATTGATAACCTCACGATGAACAACCATAGTGGTTAAACCATTGAGACGACTCTAAAATAATATAATTACACAATTCATATAATAATATAATATATTATGTTAAGCATTAAGAACTAAATTTAAATTTCATACATTCTTATAAATAAACTATAAAGGAAATGATAAAAATCTAAAAAGTTTTTTTCAATCAATATTTTAGTGTTTTATGTTTGAAGTGTTAATTTTATTCGAGCCTAGAGACTGTATAATAACTAATAAGTACAGTATATTTATTTTTTTAAATAGAAAATAGATAAATACCTGTATTATATTATGTATAATATGGATGAATTATAAATATTTAAAAAAAGGTCATGGGGGGGATCTATCCCCCTCACCCTTCCCCCGGTTTGACCGCCACTGATTGTAAACATTTGGTTGAAATGTTTGGCACTGTATTCGTACCATCGCTATAAATACTTTCAAATTCACATAAAAATTTTAAGTTTTAGTAACAAAAGAATATTAAAACATTTTTACTATCATCATTAACGAATAAAAATTGTTCTTCGGAAGTAGTCTTAATGTCTATATTAATGATTGCTAAATGTAATTCTTCAATATTTTTCATCAGGTTCGGTAGCAAATATTGACGGGCTGCATAAATAATTTTCTTGATTTTATAAATATCGGTATTATCAAAATTTGAACCGTTGGCTATACTTTGTCCTAATTCCGTATTACTTTTTTTAGTTGTGAGAATAAATCATTAATTACTTTTCGCTTACATGTATTATTCACTATTTGTCGATTTATTTTTTTGGTGATGGCAAATGATTAGGATGTAAATTCTTGTGTAATTCTCGGCTACTATTTCTTCAGTTTTATTTGTGTATATAACTAATTGACAAGTATTCAAACAACATCATCAACGCGATAGTCCAGATGTTGACTCTGTCAAAAAATATTTGTAACCAACTCGAATTATCAAAGGTTTTTCACGAGAACTTTCAATAAACGTCGCTTTTTCAGACATGTTAAAACAAATTCAACATGTACCTACATGCACATTGTATATGTACTATGTGTAACGAAATAACATTATTAGATTAATATTGATATTATTCTTAGGCCTCTTTCACACGAAGCCACCAGAGCAGCGCCACCATGGTCGCGCCACCACAAATTATTAATAACTACATTAAGGTTTTCACATTTGGTCGCGCCACTCTTATCAGTTCATGCCACCAAATATACTAAACGCGCGACCAAAATAGTCGCGCCTCCAGTTAAATTTATATTGTTTTGATGTAAAAACGCGCATTCTATTCATTCGATCGACTGCCACCGATACCAATTCATCAAAGGACTTAATTGACATTCTTAAATAATTAAAAAATTTATCTTCATACTTCCTCAAATCGTTATAGAATAAATTAAATAATCCTTTAGTAGAACGGTCAGATAGTAGTGTGTGCACCCAAAACTTCCTTTTTTTTTTTCGTTTACGTAAAACTTTACTGCACAGGTATGCCACACATGCTAGCTCTTCGACTTCCATTTTGATACTGTACTAAATTTTAATTTCATTTCATGACGTGATAAACACATCTGGAAGCGCTTCTGGAAGCATGAAGAGTGGCGATACTTTTCTGGTGGCGCTGCTCTGGTGGCTTCATGTGAAAGAGGCCTTACTGTTATATTTGGTGGCCCGCTCTAAGATAATTGTTTACCAAAGTGACTCGCTGAGGAAAAAAGGTTGGACATCACTGCTATAGACACTAGTCGACGTACAGTACGCTACTAAAAATAGTCTTATTGATACGAGTATCAGTGGTGGCAGTGGCATTACAGAGGTAGTGGTGTGGTGAATTTCTATAAAACCAAAAATACATACCATGGTGCACAATAGGTACTGAAATATATTTTTCACCTACTTTTTTCTCTAGCCCACTATCCTTTAAATGCTTTCTGAAACATAAATTGAAGAAAACTAAAAACTATCTTCCTACATATATTTTACTAACTTAAACTTAAGATTAGCAAATTTTAAGAGGCTTTCCCTTTTTTTATTTTGTACTTAACTAAAAATACAGAATGTTGTTTATTATTAATAATAATACCAATTGTGATATTAAATAATGATACGAATTGTTGTGTTACTTTCTTATCGGCTAACGTGTATTCCGCTGCATTGTGTTCGTGATATTTTTATATTGATTGATATACGAGACCAATTATGAAAAGAATAAAACAAATTTATAGAATAAAGAAATCTATACTTGTACAAAAAAAAAAAAAAAATTCAAATATAATCGTCTATTATTAGCATCTATTGACTTGTACAACATCCTTGGACACAATATTATCAATATTGTTAATTTGTTTCTTATCAAACACGTGGTTAAATTGTACTGCCTTCTCCAATGCTCCAATATCGTTATTTAGAAAAAGTATAATGATTTAATGCTCATATTGCTTTAATTGGACCAACTTTTTAAGCACAATACTTGTTCAATTATCGTTTTAAACATGAAACCCGAAAATCAAGATCAAGCGGTTCACAGAGCTGGGCCAGCCAAACAAGATAATAAAAAGCATAAAACTGGTCGCCACAGAAGTAAAGGAACTATAGAGATTTTGAAAAAAGGTACTTTATTAAAATATTATAGAAATTTAATTTATAAATTTATAAATTTATAGTTTTTTTAACCATGAATAATATCATATAGGTCGATCTGCTCAAAATACGGCAAAATCTAAAGCCAATCACCAGTTAAGCCGAATTGAACGTAGACATCAAGCAAAGATATTACGCAAAACAAAAACAGACAATGTTTTGAATGAAAAACGTAGGTCTTTATGTGTACCACATTTAGTTGCTGTTATTCCCCTAAGCAATAATGTGTTTGTTAATGAAAAAATGATGGATATGATCAATATATTGGAAAAAGCTAATGTAAAATTATCAACAGGAGTCGCTTCTGAAGGATATTCTAATCTGTGGTTAGTAGTCAGTTTGTATTAAATATTTTAGAAATATTTAATTTCTGCATCAATTTAAGTGATCAATTGGAATCTTAGTGGTCTTAGCTGAAATATTTATAATATATGTAAAAATTTATCCTTTAGTACAACATATTATATTTATTAGATTGTTTAATTTTTTTTTCTCATATAGGATTGAACAATTCAAACAAGCATTTACTTTCATCAGACCTGACTGTAGTAGTGTTCTTGGACTTTTAGATACTCTAAAAGTAGTAGATACTATTTTATTTATAGTATCAGCTGATAGTGGTTTTGATCGAGATGTTGATTTACTAATGACATGTATATTAGCACAAGGACTTCCTTCAACCGTTGTAGCTATTACCGATCTTGATAAAATTCCTCTTAAGGTTTCTTATGGTACATTTTATTAAATTTAGTTGTTTACTTAACTGTATTATTTTTATAGAAACAAAATGAAGCCAAACAGTGCATTCAAAAAGATATTGAAAACTGGTTACCAGATGAAAAAGTCAGCAAAATTGATACATCTACAGATATCCTTAATGTTCTTAGACGAATTAGTTCACAAAAAAAAAGATCAATAACGTTTCGCGATAAACGTGCACATTTGTTAGCTGAAGAACTGTCTTTTTCTCCTGGTGCTGATGTAAGTACATTTTATAAATGTTGATAGCCTATTTAGTTTTATGTATTCAATTTTTCATAAGAGTTTTTTATTTTTCTTTACGTTGTTTTTTTAGGAAAATATAGGTACTATGAAAGTGAGTGGTTTCTTAAAAGGTCAACCTCTCTCTGTTAATTCTTTAATACATATTCCTGGTTGGGGTGACTTTCAAATGGAACAAATAGATTTGACATCTAATGATTTCATTAAAAGTTTTACTGGGAAAGATGTGCAAACTACTGTCTTAGAAAAAGCTAATCCAAAATTACAAGTATTCAGTATATTCTTATTTATATTTTTTGAGAGCTTAAACAAAGAATAATAACCACAAATATATTCAGGATACTTTAGTTTGTGAAAACATACCTGATCCAATGGATACTGAACAAACTTGGCCTACTGATGAAGAAATGAAGGATACCACAGAGAAAAATAAAAAAAAACGTATGATAAAACGTGTACCTGAGGGTATGTCTGTATATCAATCAGCTTGGATCCCCGATGAAGAATCTGATCATGGTAAGTATAAGAAATGGGCGTTGAGATTAAACTCTACATTATAATATCAAACCACTCTTAACCCATATGCTTTAAAAGTTGATAAATAAGTATGAAAAATTAAACAAATTAAAATTTAACAATTAAAATATTTTATAACGAAGTTATTTAAGTAAATTATATTTTTGTTTGAGTCCAGAACATTTTTTAAAACTCTTTTTTGGAGTTTAGGATGGTTAAATTTTTTGATATTATAAACAGTTTATCCTCCTTAAATATTTAAGTATAGTTATCAAATTTAATTATATTCATTGGTGAATTTTCAAATTATATTGTTTTAACCTTTAAACAGATGATTCAAATTTAGAAGACGATGAAGGTTCTGATGATTTCTATTCAATTGAAGATGAAAATTCTGATGGTGAATTGAAAAGTATAATAGATGATGAAATGGAAACTATGTCTGTAACCACTGCTGCTTCAGAAGCACCGATTGAAGCTGATAAATATGATCTGCAATTTGATATAAAAGAAGAACAAAATATTCTATCCAAAATTAAAGGTTTGAATTTGTACATAAATTTAAATATAGAATTAACCCATTATGCCAGCATATAATTTTAATAAAATGTAACTAACTCATACTTTCCATGAATTCAATTATTTTTGATGAAGTTTAATTTAAATTACTACTGAAATGCTAGTATACTTTGTTAATATTTTTTATAATAATTCAAGTGCAAATATACTTCTAATTATTTAAATTAAATTGAACTATAATTTTAGAAGCAAAACTTGATCAGTTATTTCCTGATGAAGTGGATACTCCTATTGATATGCCAGCTAGAATTCGCTTTCAAAAATATCGTGGTTTACAATCATTTCGTACATCACCATGGGATGTCAAGGAAAATTTACCTCCTGAATATGCTCGAATATTTCAATTTGAAAATTTTGATCGAACAAGAAAGAGATTGTATAAAAATTTGGAAAACCTTACTGGTGCCATGGTTAATATTTTAAAGTTATATAATTTTCTTTGATTGGTTTAACCCATTTACTTAACCTATTTATTTCAGCCTGATTGGTATATAACAGTTTATGTTAAGAATATACCAGCAAAAATGTTTCATTCAAGAGATGGTCGTAATCCTGTTGTGATATTTGGTCTTTTGCCACATGAGCAAAAGATTTCGTTGTTGAATGTTGTTTTAAAACGACCATCTACTGTGAATTTTGATGAACCAATTAAATCTAAAACTGAACTTCTATTTCAATGTGGTTTCCGAAGGTTTACTGCTGAACCTATATTTAGTCAGCATACAAATGGAAATAAATTCAAAGTAAATATTCTAAAAAAATTATTATTAAGATGTTTTTAATACATTATTTTATTTTAGTATGAACGATTCTTCCATCAAGATTCCATAGTCGTTGCTTCAATGTTTGCACCAATAGTCTATCCACCTTGCTCAGTTATTGCCATGAAGTATTGCAAGGATGGTTCATTTGTATGTACTCCAATAGTTTGAAATATCTTGTAATATTAAGATGTGATCTCACTATTAATGTATTATTTTATATTATTATTATTTTTTTTTTTTCATTTTTTCAGCAAATAATTGGAAATGGAAATGTATTGTCAGTAAATCCAGATCGAGTAATCGTAAAAAGAACAGTTCTAAGTGGCCATCCATTTAAAGTACATAAGCGTTCAGCTGTAGTCAGGTTTATGTTCTTTAACAGGGAAGATATTGAATGGTTTAAACCTGTTGAATTACGCACCAAATATGGAAGAAGAGGACATATTAAAGAACCATTAGGTATATTTTTAAATTTATTTAATTTGAAAAAAAATAACAAATTTTTAACTATTTATAATTTCAGGTACACATGGACACATGAAATGTGGATTTGATGGGCCAATAAAATCTCAAGATACTGTTTGTCTAAATTTATACAAACGAATTTTTCCAAAATGGACATATAATCAATTTTACAATGTAACAAAATAAATAAAAAAAAAATTAAATTTAACTATAACTACCAATAACTTCTTTATCTGTGGATTTCCATTAGTTTGAATATATCTCTATAAATAATTTCTAAAAAATTTAACCTCGGTGCACTTTTCTGGAACAATGTGACCAATCCATTTTGAGTCGTTTTAATTGCTAAGTAGTATAATACTTTTTGAGTGTGAATTACGTCCACAATAAGTATGTCCGTAATACTTTGCCATGGCAAAGAAAATACCTTTTGCCGTCCATTAATGTATGTTGTAGTTAGTTGTAGTCCAATTGGAGCTATTATAACTAATGATTCACTGTGCACTTTATAAATAAACCGTAATATCATCAAAAACAAGAAAACTGCAACAATTCCAGTTTTAAGGCATTCAAAAGCTGTATTAATAGCATGTGTGTATATGGCCATTAATAATGACACAACTATAATGAAGCATTCGGTTTTTGAAAATTTTTCACGCTTTTCTACACAGTATTCTATACATGAGTGTTTGACTGACTCATCTATGGATGTTTTTAACACAAGTCGATCATCTGACATTATGACATTCATTGTTATCTAACAGATATTGAACAAATGTACATTTACCATCTATAACAGCTTATACTGGACACCTGCTTCGTATGTATTTTGTAATCTGACATCGATTATTAAATTTAGAACTCCTAACTAAAACCTAATTATAATAATTTAACGATTAGTATACCGAAACTTTACTAAATAGGAAAATGTACATATGAAAAACTTAAGTTTTCAAAAATATTTAATAATCATCACAGCAGCCCATAAGTTGTAGATAATATTATCTATTAACGTTCTAACCATAGACCATAAAATACTATGGGATCGGTAGAGTAGATTTTGAAAACTGGTCTACGGCACGGTGACGTTGTATCTTCTATGGGAGAATGGAAGTATATCTATATCAGTAGGTGCTTATATGTGACAGTATCGAATTACGTTGGCTAAACTGTCTGTTGACTGAGCTATCGAGTCGATTGTTAGGCAATTTAACATAAATTCGATCCCCTCCATCTCTGCCATTTCAACTTAGCTGCTTATGTCGACATATTTTGTACCGGAGAGTTTTTCGTGGTTAACTTCTCTTTCGGATATTATAGTTGACCAATTTTTCCCAGAAAACTTTATAAGAGTCGCAATCCAATATGGGTGAGTACAATACATTATTTATTAACCGAAATCTTAATAGAATTCCTAAACATGATTTAACTTACCATGTGGTCATTTATAATTTATATCCATTCCTAACGTAGATTGACGTTTTACTTATGCCTTAGTTATATATAATTTTTCCCTCTATCACACAATTAAGAAATCTTACGTAATTATTTCAACGTTTTAATTTTAAACAATAATATGTACTACTAGTTTCACGTGTGAAACTGTGTTACGTATTTTATCAAAATAACTTCTGTTAGTGTACTTAGAGGCTATAATTTATCCATTATAATATTTACATTTCAGGTAAACCTCGTGGTATTCGTACGGCTCGTAAGCATGTAAACCATCGTCGTGTACAAAAGTGGGCTGACAAAGACTACAAAAAGGCACATTTGGGAACAAGATGGAAGGCCAATCCTTTCGGAGGAGCTTCCCACGCCAAGGGAATTGTTTTGGAAAAAGTGTAATTATATTGTATTTAATGAAATGCTTAAGATCTGTATTAATAATATTTGTATCATTACATCTATATAGTGGAGTTGAAGCTAAACAGCCTAATTCTGCTATCCGTAAGTGTGTCCGTGTTCAACTTATCAAGAACGGAAAGAAAATCACAGCTTTCGTACCTAGAGATGGTTGTTTAAATTATATTGAAGAAAATGACGAAGTATTAGTAGCAGGATTTGGTAGAAAAGGTCATGCTGTAGGAGATATTCCCGGTAAGGATTATTGGCGAATAATTATTTTCTTATTTGTCTTATTTATTCTTTATCCTTTTTTTTAACAGGGGTTCGTTTCAAGGTTGTCAAAGTAGCAAATGTTTCCTTACTTGCTTTATACAAGGAAAAGAAGGAAAGGCCAAGGTCTTAAATACATAATAATGTGGACTTTTATTATTTTGTACAAATATAACAATTTTTAAAAGCGAATTTGTGTTTGTTTATAGATAATCTGTTTTTAAATTATATTTTACACATATGTGTAACTTACATGTCCCCAACCCTCCCACCAACTATATTCTAGACAATTATTTGGCAGTTCTTTTGTTTGTAATTTATTTGATTAATATCAGAATTTGTTTGACAATAGTTTTTTACAATATCAAAAACTATGAGAAGGTACTGAATACAGATTTCTTCCACTAGTCTAAATACTTGGTATATTAAATTTTTTTTTTCAGTATTGCTTGAATTTGACCATTTTAAAAATTACCTCCACTAATAAATTTAATGTTTAACAATTTCCATAATAAATTTGAATTTAATATTCACTAGAAATCTAACCAAACAAGTTATAAAACCACATGATTCTAACTCCATATTCTCAAATTGTTTCATTTTTTAATTCAATATTTTATAGATTTGAACGTATAACATTAAATTAACCTAATCAACATGAACTTTTAAAAGCAATAATTAATGAAATATAAAAATATAATAATACACCAAGCTAAGGTTTTAATGTATTTATACATATATATATAATATTCATTTATTAATTTAAGAGTATTAACCATTTAATAATTTTTAATTTTTTTATTTTATAATATATATATATATAGGTAAATATAAGTTAAATAAATAGCCCAAATATATTCGAACTTAATAATTAAAGCGGAAAAAATGCTATCGAAACTTTAAAAAAAAAAGAGGGAAACTGATTGAGTATTATAACATCCTTAGTTGAATTTGATCCCCCTCCTAGAAGTAAATCTATCTACTCCCCTGACATTTACCCACCTTTAGGGTTGCCATATGTTCCGGAAAACCAGTATTGTCACTGGTTTTGAACTTCATGTCCCGACCGACATTGAATTGAGTCCCACAAATATTTTTGGGTTATCAGAGTTGAGTCCAACCAATATTGTTAGATTATTCGAGTTGAATCCCATCAGCCTATTAACATTACCCAGGAGACACCATATGGAGGTTGGCTGCATAAGGTAATAATACTGTGGAACTTCAGCATTCAAATTACAATATGCGGCAGAATCCATATTTAATTGTTGTATTTCCTTTTTAAATAATGACTAAACATGATTTTTAAATTTTATTTGTATGCCATAATTGTGTGTTTTTTTTTAATTTATTTAAATAGTTTTTTATTAAATAATACAGTATATGAATAAATAATACATTTATTTTTATAATTTGAATTATTTATAACATTTTAAATATTTAATAATTAAAAAAATACAACTGAATTTTTAAATATATTGGCTTTAATCAAAGTCTGTCAAATCAATAGATATATAACTAACATAAAATAAATAATAAAAAACAGTTTCATATAATTCAAAGCAAAATTTATCATCTTCAATAAAATTAATAAATTTATTGTAAGTAGTAAATCTTTCTTATTTTATCTGCTCAAACACGGGTATTTAATTTTTTCGCCCTGCTATCAGATTTAACGACTAACCGTATCCGGTCTTTATTTCGAAAAAATATGCTTTCGACCATACAATTCAGTTTGTTGACCAATTTCCGAGATCATCGTATGATGAACAGCATGGCATTCAGGAGACCGTACCCAATGTCGGTATAGCAAAAGCGTCACCTTGAAACAGTTTCGGATGAGATTTTTTTTTACAATACAGCAAGGCTGTTCCAATTCGATACTATGTACTCGTATTATTTGGAATAGAAAAATTCTGAATGGTTTATTCAGAATTACATTCTGAATGTTTTCATCGCGTAAATAATTTTTCACATGTACTATTTCTTCCCTTATAGTCACCGTGTGACTTGTGCCCGCGAAATGTTGACGGGCGCCGCGATACAGGGCCGTCTCGAAGATAAAAATCAGGAGGAGGGGGGTGACTAGTATGAAAAATGTCGACTTTAATTTTTTTAATCAATGTATGTAGTATAATTAACTATATTTAGTCATATTTTTACTTTTTAACATGTATATATGTGTCAGAGTCACATGTTCTTAAAATTGACAATTTAATTTTATATTTATAATAATATTTTATATTGTATAATAAGTAATTATATAAATTTTATTCGTGTGTACGCTGTATTACGAAGAACGAGTATGTAATATTTGTTTTCCGTAAGTAAAATTAGATTCTTCTAGGCTATAATGAAACTAGTCCGATTGCCGCCGACTGGTGTTTTGTTGGGGAAGTGAGACACCCCCCAAGACCCTCCTTCAGTACGGCCCTGCCGAGATGCCGTACTTAACTAAATTAATAGTAATGCCCGTGGTTTAAAAAATCGGAACCTTAACAGGATGGATGATAAGGTGAAGAACAATTACAAGGCCCTGGCTGGTGGCATGGCGCTTACGGCGTGTCTGTGCTCCGGGATAATATGGCACCACGTCGAACGGGACCTCATAACGGACCAGCTGATCTTGTGCCTATACAATGACTGCACGATAACCGACATTTGCGAAATGAAATGGCAACACATGATGACCGTTACTGGGCGGGATCTGAAGTTCCACGACAAAAGGAGGTACAATTGCGCGCGACTTATTATCATTCAGCTGTTGGATGCAAACGTATAGTTTACCGCGATCCGGGACAATCCCTGGTCGCTCTACACGAAGGATAACAACGAACCAAACGCGTTTGCGATGCCCTTTGCGTTGGTAAACATTAGCAGCAGCATGATGGTCATGGTCAACGATGATCAAGTGGCTATCATCAACGGCCATAAGATTTCCCGCATCGCGCTGCGCCACACCATCTCCAGGCTCCACTAACGGTTGTGTGGTGAAGCGCAACGCGAGAAATCTTTATACAGTGCCACAGCTATACTAATTTGGGTCCGTAACCGTAAATTTAACAATTGTAACTAAACTATTTTGAATTTCGATTATACAGGCTGCAAATATAATATTATATTTTGCTAATGATACACGTAAGAATTTTAAAAATATGTAAAATTTAATAAAAAAATACCATACTATAGAGAATAACACACTTTTTAATTTCGTACTACATACTTAACATTTAGTATTATACAATGTGCGCCGTTTTCAGTGGCGTATCCATGGGGGGAGAGGGTCAGAACCCATTCAACATTTATGGATTAAAAAAGTTGAACCTAATATAAAAAAAAAAAAAAATAAAAATAAGAGAAGTGCTATTCCTGCAAATAAATGACTGTCAACTAATTTAAAGTATTTAGCTACTGGTCAAGATTTGAAGATTTAAAATTTACCACAGCAATATCTCCTCAAACATTGAATAAAATTATTATTGAAACCTGTGAAGCTCTAGTTACTGTACTAAAAGATTGTATAAAAGTTAAAAAAATATTTAGATATACTTACATATATTATTATTTAAAAATGACTAACAAATGAATAAATATTAACTTTTTTAATATATATATACTATGTATACTTATAATATCACAAATTTAATCAATATAATTTTATAATGGTAACATTTGAACAGTTCTTTTTTTAATTATAACTAAATATACTAAGAACATAATATTTATAAATATTTTTATAAAATAACAAATATGGCTGTTTCTAGGTATTAAATAATAGCAAAATTAAATATTATAATTACTCTTTTTAATATCTATAAATTAAAAAAAACACTCAACTCAGTGTATATATGTAAAATTAAAAAAATAAAAAGAAAAAATATAACTGTTGCAAATATCTTTGATTATTATTAAATCAATGTAGATATATGACAAAACATTATTAGAGGTTAATTTAAAAAAACACACGAGTTTTTACATGTCCACCGTTGAATTTCGCCTTGCAATATTTTATGAAATCGAAACTTAAACCATCAATAATTCTTATTTATTTATTTTTTTCACTCGTAATAATTTAACGAAAGGTTATTTAAAAGTAAATATTGTGTTCACGAATTATTCGACACGACTGATTGATTTTGAACGAATAAACCGTTGACGAATTTCTATTATCGTTATATATCCGATACTGAGCTATGATATGATGTGCAAAATTCAAGGTCGCCACTGGTAGGTAGTTATAACATGCTATCCATACGGACTCAATTCAAAGATATTAAGATAATAAGCTGAACTCAATTCAAACACCTAAAAATAGCACGAACTCAATTATATATCATCGCGTGAAAAAATGTTTTCGGGATGTCCTATGTCCTGGGTTAGACGTCTACAGGAAATGTAGATTTGTTTAATTTTTAATTTCGAGCATTTTATCTCAAAGTACATTTTTAATCGTAATCGATTGACAATATTTAATAAAAACATAATTTTTAATTTACACATATAAATATATAATATATTTTATTTTACACAATATTTTTAAATATTATATTGCCGGCCATTAATGGTCCTCTTCAAAGGCGAATACATAACTTTTTTATGGGAAGGGATCATTTGCAAACAAATCATTATTTTTTTTACATTTCTAACGCCCTCACAATAAGAACATTATTTTATAACAAGGCCTAGGGGGGATCTGATCCCTACATCCTTCCTATGTATACTGCACTGGTCCTCTCAATATATTAAGTTATAATATAAAAAGTATATTACCTACTCAATAATATGTTTGTTTTGTCCCGGTTTCGCCTTATAAATGTTTGGCAATCCTATCCACCTACATACTTATAAATCTATCCATAATATGGATGTATAAATACATAATACAAATTGTATTTTATTTATGTTTTATCGATTCATTACTATTTGTTAATTAACTAAAGAAATTTTTTTTTTAAAAATGATTATTGATTATATTACCTCTAGTTAAATGGTGATATAACATGATCGTTGATTCGTGGTTATTCTTATCAAAACAGATATAAAAGTTGATAACAATTGTTAATATTTGTTGTTTGTATAGACGAAAACGTCTAAAAAATTATTTTATTGTTTTAATTAGTATTTATATTAAAATTATTTCATCATTTTTATACATAATATATTGTCATAAGAAAATATCGTAATTGAACAGTGAATTTTACTATTTACGAATGTAATTAATACTATTACAATGCCAAGCAGCGTTACTTCTTTTCGATCAACATCATCTTTGTCATACTTACCTTCACCAGTAACACAGCGGTAAGAACATTTTATTAACTAAAGGTTTATTATTATATTCTTTGTCTTTTTAAACATTGTAGAACATGTATGACTGCTGCTGTGAAACGTTATCGGTATTTGAGAAAATTATTGAACTTTGAACAAATGGATTTTGAATTTGCACTGTGGCAAATGACGTTTTTATTTATCAATCCTCAAAAAGTTTATAGAAATTTTCAACATAGAAAAGGTATGTAACTCAGAGTTTAGTTTTAATTTTATAATGTATTAATTGTTTACTTTTCTTACAGAAACCAAATTACAATTTGCTCGTGACGATCCAGCATTTTTAGTTCTTTTAAGTGGTTTACTCTGTGGTTAGTACAACATATTTTGCTATAAACTAAATATTTAGTTTGTTAATTTTTTTTTACAGTTTCATCAATAGCATTTACATACGTTCTAAGGCTTGGTGTCATCGAGTTCTTAAAATTTCTATTATATATTGTAACAATAGATTGTTTATTATCTGGTGTAATTATTAGTACAGTGTTATGGTATGTATTATTATATTTCTCCATTTTCTCTTGCTTTAATGTTGATTGGGGTTTCGAACATTTAAACATTTGTTTTCTATTCAGTTAAAAAGTAATACAATGCAAAATTGATTCTAAGAGTATAATTAACTACTTAAACTTTTTTTACTTTAAAAGCTTAATTAATCTATTATAGCTAGAACTTTCAGTTTTCAATAGCAAAAATTTTTATATTATTGCTTATTAGTTCTTTAAACATATTAAAATAATTATATATAAGTTTTTTGAAAATATATACACTTTCTTAAATTAAACTTTGTTTATAGCAATTAAATAGTAAAAGTAATTTTTAACAAATTCAACAAAAAATTTATATTTGTACTTATAACCTTTTTTTATAACTATTTTTTTTACCAACTTCACTAACTTTTTTATACTAAACAAAATTTTATATATCTGTAAAATAACATTTATACAATTTTGTAAGTTATTAATCATTATTTTATTATAATTACAGGTTTGTTGCCAATAAATATTTAATTAAGTCAAACTATAAAGGCCAAGATGTAGAATGGGCATATGCTTTCGATATACATTTAAATGCTTTTGTGCCAATGTTAGTAATATCTCACATATTTCAGTTGTTTTTCTATCACAGTATGTATGAATATTTTTTTTTTATTATAATTGAGTAACTTTCTTTTTTTATAATTTTTATAACCTTTTTTTGTTTTAGTATTTCTCAGGCACGATTGGTTTCTGCCTTTATTTATTGGTAACACATTATGGCTCATAGCTATTGGTTACTATCTATATATTACGTTTTTAGGATACAGCTGTAAGTTAATAATTTTCAAACGAATAAATTTTATATAGTATTTAAATGTTTTATTTTAATTAATCAATTATTTATAAAATAACTTTTGTACAAACAAATTTTAAGAAAACTGTAGTGTGAGTTTTTCTGTGTAAATTTATATTTCTTTCTTATTTTTATACATAATAGTCTATATTTTAACATATTCTTAATTAACCTAGTAGAATGTATTATGAATTATAACATTCATTGATAAATCGAGTTAGCTACTAAATAGTGCACAAACGTATAATTATAAATTCACTATAAAACGATAAATGAAAATGTTAAGCCAAAAATAACATTAACCAACATAATTTTAACATCGTTATATATTTTTAGTAATAGTGTATAACAATTAAATATCAGTATAATAAAAACCTGTTGTAATCTTCTCTATTTAGTGTAAATATTGTTTGGGAGAACTTTTTTAAGAAGTAAAAATTGAAAATGTATTTTTGAAAAATTAATTATATTATCTTTTAACATAAGATTTTATATAAAGATCTTGTAAAATTCTAAATACCATATATTCAATTGTATACATATTATCATAAATCACTGTATTCAATTGCATTACTAACAGTTAATATTTTTTTTCAGGTTTACCTATCTTGCATAAAACTGAAGTACTATTAACTCCATTCATTTTGTTGTTTTTCTTATACATTTTATCATTTGCTATAAATTGGAATATAAGTGATAATGTGATGTCTATTTATGAATACAGAATTCTATGAAACAAATATTATTTTTTAATTATATAATATTTTTCTTTTAACCAATATTTTGTTTATAAAGTATTTTAATGTGTTAATGTATATATAGTACATAATATATCAACCTATTTGTATAACATTTTTGTATAAACACATACTATTATTTTTGTGGCTATATATATGTATGTATATATATATATATATGTACATAATACTTAACCTTAATATAAGTTTGGTAAGTTAACACTTATAGTACATTAATTGTTTTTATTTGATTTTTTTGAATTTTTTATTGCTTTAGATTTTTCTTTTTGTTTATCAGCAACTGCTGGTGGACTTCCAGAAAAAAAAGAGGTTATCATTTCAGACATTTCAGGCATCTCATGTTTTAAGTTTGACAATTGTTCCATTTCCTATGAAAAAACGAATTAATAACAAACTTATTTTTATTATATTATAGGCATAAAATCATACCTTTTTAGTTTCTGGATCATTCATTAACTTTGGTAAAACTAGTATAGCAAGGAGAGGCAACACCATAGTTAAAACCTAAACATTTAGATTGTAATGTATTTAATCTGATTTAAACAATTGAATTCTTAATAAAGATCAAACTCAAAACTATACCATTGAATTGAAGAGAATGTCAGTAACTTTCCATTGTTCTCGAGTGTAAAAATACTTGGCTGGCATATAATTTACAAACTCTAATGGATAAGGAATTTGGTGCACGTGTGATGACTGAATATAATTGACTTTACGTGCGCGATATTTGCCTTTTGAATTAATTTCAACCCTAATTGGTTCATACACATAGTTTGGATTTACTACTTCAACAATATATGATCCTGATGGCACTTTTGAAATGATAAATGAACCGTTTTTCCTGTGAAATGACAAAAAAAATAATAATTCAGCTATTTAATACATATTTTATTTTATGTGGTTTCTGTTTTGTTTTAAATAATTTAATTTAAAAAAAAAAAAATGGAATATATGATGCATACAAGCAATTAGTAATAAATAAGGTTACAAAATATCTAATGATTGCCTAGATCTATAAAAATTAACTCAATTTTATAAATTAATTAAAAAGTAAGTATGCAGAATAAGTTTTAAATAATGACTAGTATAAATTATATTACAGCCAAAGAAAATATTTTTACATTTTTAAAAAATTATAATTAAGTTTACAATTATTTAATATTGATAAAAAATTTTTTAGTTTATTAATTTATCATGTAAATAATAAATGTATCACCTAAGAAATCCGACTGCTTCGCCTCCTTTAAGTTGGATTACAGTTTCGGCTAACCAAGATGTAGTCAAGTTGGGAAGCATAATTGTACCTTCAATGTCATAAAGTTCACGGCTGGATTCCGTCTGACCATAGGCATAATAGAAGTTAAGTGATATGATGGAAAATAAAAGAACATACACTTTAAATAAATTGGTAATCATATTTATTATAATTTAAGAACACGATCTCTAAGAGACTAAAACGATTATTGATTCAAAATGTATATATTTAATACTTTTATTTTACATATTCTTGTTATCTCTCTGAGATCCGCTGAATATTATCACTTATCAGAAACCATTTTAAACTTAGAATTAAAATATCTTTGAAATTTTTCAAAATTATCTTATCAACAATTCAACACGATACTGATAGACCGGTAATGGATATAATTTCAATAATTTAACATTGAACATTTTAAAATAAAGGATTAATTTAATTAGTACGATATTCGATTCAGTAAATGTATTATACTGATTTTCAATTATTTAAGTAGAAAAATATTGTTATAAATATTACGAAAATCAATAATTCAAGTTACAATCATGGACGAGAAGTTAACAAACGAAGAATCTAATAATTTGAATTTGTGGATGGTAAATATTAAGTGTAAAAATTTTATAGATTATAGGAAGAGGTTCTATTTAGGTTTTACTCAATATAATATATTATTTTATTTTGAGACATAAAAAAAAAAAAATTCATTATAAAAACTTATGTTATGAATCACGAAAAATTACTATTCTTAAAATAATCAACGTAATCTTACATCTTAATGATCTATGTACATATGAATAAGACTAGTTTTAGAAAAAATTAATTCTGTGGTTTTAAAGTAAACATTGTTTATTTTTCCAAATTAATTATTGAGTAAGCATCACCTTACAAACTAAACTACTTATTAATATACAGTTTTAATAAATAATTCTAATAAAAATCCTATTTGAGCATGCTCATTTAAATTTTGTTTATTTGTATTAATATAAATGTTGTGTATTTATATTATTAAGAATGCCTTAAAAATGTAAATTATTTTTTATTTCAAAGTTATAAAAATATTGTTATTTATTTACTTCATTTATATTTATATTCATATATTTTTTTCGTAAAATAAATATATTTTAGATACGACCATGTGAGATATACAATGATGAATATAATGAGTGTACTTCAATATTATCAAGATTTCATCAGAGGTTTATTTATGGAAGTACCATAGACTGCAATAATTGGCATGGCGACTATCTTAATTGTTTGAAATGGAAAAAGGACAATGATTTACAAGCCGCAGTAATTCATTTTAACAATTTCTTATCATAGTTACATATAAATAATAATTTTTTTTTACAGAAAAGTTTGGTTCAAAGTGAAACAATCAGAAGAAACAATAGACTGAAAACTTTCTATGCAAATAATGTATGGGAAATTAGAAAAAGTCCTCCAGAAAATTGGAATGAACCGTTGCCAGAATATATAGCACAGCGTCAATCTAATTCTACATTTAAGAAGACATTAAATGAAATTAATTTAGAAGCAGATAAATCTTTTTGTTCAATAATGTAAAATTGATATACAATTATTTCTAGATTGTTGCTTAATGTAATAAAGTGGTTTTGTTGTTTATATCACTTTTAACTCATTATTTTCTGTACAATTTAAAATATTTATTTTTTGTTTTATATATTAGGTAAATTAGATATAAATTATTTTGTATTGATTGATAGTAAATGGATTATTATAAACGTAAATAGAATGTTTTTAGTACAGGGCAGGGCTTTGAATTGGAATCATTTAATCGTTTATTTGGGTTTTGGGTGTTAAAATAAATATTAGTTGATTGAATTTGAGTGTTTCAGGTTAAAGAACTTTTTAATTCAGATGTTAAAAAAACTCATGTTTCATATTAATTAACATAAAATATTCAATGTGAATTTGATATGGTTATCTGATTTTACTTTATAAATAAATATGAAAAAAAACCACATTAAAATAATACTTACCATAAATCAGTTATTTATCTGGTTTTGGGTTAACTCAAATATTTCATTCAAGTTTCGGATTAATTAAGGTGTTTATTTTTCAATCGGTTTTTAATAAATAGGTTTCGGATTATGCCATTTATTTGGGCTTTGAGTGACGTTCAGATACAAAGCCCTGATACAGGGTATAGGTATGTAAAACAATTTTCATTTTTTATGTATGGCCTATAACACAGACTATTGTACTATTTTTGTCCATATGACATGTTGAATTTACATTTTGGCGATTATAGTTATCTATTGAATGTTTAATTGTAATAATTAAATCAGGAGCTTTTTCCAGTTTGTTTTCACAAGTTTTATAAATATAAAGTAAAAGAAAAAAATAATATCTAAATCATATAAAATATATTACTCTGGAAAAAGTTGACAGTATAAAAAATTATTAATGATTATTATAAAAAAATGACGAATACAAAAACTGGTAGGAACTTTTAATTTCAACTATCAAATTCATGCATGATAAACATCAAGTATAAAAAATTAACATTTAAACAAACTTTAAAAACTCATAAATAAAATATGACACTTTTACTTTCAATAAAATCTTATTATAAACTTTACTGTTATGTAATTAACTTGTAATTGTAGAGGAGTAATAACTATCCATAAAAGAAAATCCAAAATACTATACCACAGATCCTGATCATTTTGAAATATAATTAATATTTTATCAAAATGTTTATTTTAAAAGCGTGAAACTTTTGGAGCTGATAAAAATCCTGGTCTATTAGATGGTGGAATTTTCACATTAGATTTCAATGTTGAGGTTTGAATTTTGGAAGATTTTGAAGCCTTATACGATTGTGTGGTTGCTTTTTTTTTAGAACTAAAATAATTAATAAAATACAAAATAATTAACTTTAAATATGTTCAAAACAAAACATTTTTATTAGAAATAAGATTTTATACATACTTTTTGTTTTTTGATTTTTTAAATCTTTTATTTCCACCTTTATTTGAATAATATGTTTTTCTCTTATTATTTTTGTTATTCCCTATACCAGTGGATATACTATCAAAATATGGACAATCTGAACTTAACTTAAGCCAATCATCTTCTTCTAAATTATCTTGTTCATTTTCTTCACATTCTGCAACTATAATATATTTTAAATTAATAATTGTTTAAATATTGGTACACACTAATGTCATAAAAATGAAATATTCACTTATTAAGTACTTTTTTAATCAATTTACTTCAACATTCTTTAAGAAAATGCAAATATGAAATACTAATAATAAAATATATTATCTATAATAATTTTAATTTTATAATTGTCTGGAATAAAAATCAAAAATCAACTAGCATTCTTATTTATTTCTTCAAGGTTTTGCATATAAGATATTTTTTAATCGAGAATAATTCAAGGAAACTATCGGCTATTATTAATTTTATAATTAAAATATAATTATTTTCATATATTTAACTTAATATTACTCTATATTTATTCTTTAAATAAATTACTATGGTACATTTTAATTTACATATAAAATATATTTTACCAAATTTATCTGCTGCAGCTTCTTGTGTAACTTTTAATAATTGACGGCCATATTTTTCATAATTTGCTTTTGTTACACCAACAATTTTTAGCATTTCTTCTTCAGTCTCTGGTAAAGATTGAGACATTTCTTGAATAGCCTATAAAAGAAATGTTATGTTTATTTTTCGATACAAAATAAATACTTCACAAGATATAATGGTAAATGCATTTTTAAATAATAATAAATATGTTATTTGTAGTTCTTACTTGAATAGTCATAACAGCATTAGTGGTAATGTTTAATGAAGCAGCTATTCCACGACAGACTTCCATCAAATTTTCATAGCATCTTTCTTGGATTTCTTTAAGAACTGGATTTACCATAGTAAAATGATTTTTACTAATAGTCTCAATATTTAATTTATTTTTAGAAGTTAATGCTAATTTTAACTAAAAAATATTGAATAAGCATTAAACAATGATAAAAATTGTATTTAAATTAATTACTTTGATTGATCCCTGAAGAAGTTTTTCTCCTTGTGAACCAACTCTGACAAAAGCATTAATAATATCCAATTTAGAAGCAACCATTTCTTCTTTTATATAACCTTCTAAAACTAATTTGTGCATTAAACGTTCTGCATCTAATCGGTCCCAATGTTTTCCACGTCCATGTAAACTCAATTTATCATGATCTAAGTTGAACAACATTAATTTTATTTTTATTTCATTACAATTAAAGCATAATTTATAAATCTAACTATTAGTTTTGATTTTTTGATTTGTGCTCCCTTTAAATATATCAATTAAATGAATTAAAGTAAAATTATTATTCCAATTGCTAGAAGAGTTACATAATTCTTTGATTGTTTTAACTATTTCAATACTATCTTCTGTAACATCAATATATTTAAATGATGCCTACAAAATAATTAAAAGACAAATAAATATTAAAATAATCAATTGTGTAAATTTAAATTTAATATTACTTTATTTTGACAATTATCACATGCTGTTTCTTTATTTGAAATGCACTGATTATCATTAAATGTTTCACCAAAATAATTAAGTTGTAATGTCCGTCTGCAATCAGCTTTATTTTCACAATAAGATACAATTCTAAATAAATTTTGCACATGGACTTTTTTTGATTCAGCAGTACCACTTGTGTCCACTAAGTAACAAAGGAACAGAATTCAAATTACGATTTTTAATTTAAATACAATAAAATACAAAATACAATTTTTAACAACTATCAAACTAATTAATATTATTTTTTTACATACATAAAAAAAAAGGTTAGACTCGGAACTGCATGTATTAAAAATTTCTCAAATATGCGTATACATATACATTAAAAAACACCATAATATACAGTATATGTAGTAAAAATTATATTAATATGAAATTTTTTAATTAAGAACAATTTACATAAATAAGGAACATGGAAAAAACAAAAGAAAATTAAAAAAAAATAAACACTGCAAATACAGTGTAGTGTTTATTATTTTTTTGTTGTGTCTTCCTGTTATACAATTTTCAACGAACTTCAATCTTCTTGAGTATAAATGTATAAATACTGATGACGATCGCTTTATATTATGGCACAATAATAATGTCTTAGAGTTGAAGAAATATATGTACTAGCTGGAATAGTACTACTGGCAATTAGAAGGGCAGTGCAAGCAGATTGGGAAAGGACGAAAATGAAGAAAGATGATAAACATCCAATGTATGGAATTGAAGGAAATAATTTCTGGTTAAAATCGAGATATAGTTTCATAAAAAAGACGAAATACTTAACAACAACTAAGGAATAAGAGAGTTATGCAATGGAAAAACCAAATTAGAGACAAAAAATGGGTCCTCATCGAAGCGTTATCATCAGGCAATTAAGGGAAATCCTCACCTGGAGAATATTAAACCGGATGAGAACAGGAGTTGGGCGCATTAAGGATAACATGAAGAAATGGGGATTACTTGAAAGAACATCTAAAACTTGTGAATATGGGATGGAACAGTCAATGAAACATATTATGCAATGCCCAATCTATCCTTACTTATCAACACAAGATGATGTTATAAATGTAAATGATGACGTCAAGGACATAGCTAGTTTTTGAGACAACAAAAACCATATGAACTAGACATATGAAACCATATGAACCAAAAAATAAAAATTAGTTACCACTTATTTAACTTTTAATTAATTTAATCTGTTTATCTATTTTATCTATTTGATGGTTTGTTTTATATTTATATTTGCTGTTTTTAGTTTACATGTATACTTAGTCAGTTATATATATATATACATTTTATGTTTAAAAGATTCTACCTACATAATGGTGTGCTTGATACGAGAAAATAAAATAATAATGCCTTCATGAATTTAAGAGCAATACTAAAATAGCAATTGATGAACAATTTAATTTATCAAACGATATAAAATTTAGACTTTTGGTTATCATACAGGTATATCTAATATTTTTTTGTTGAATTGTAAAAAAAAAAATGGTTTTGTTGAAGGTTTTGTTCTATGAAATATGCATATAAATATTCTTAAATCTAAAATTAGTACAAAAAATAATAAAATATGCAACATTTTGTTACAAACATTTTTGTATTTCAAATCTGTGTAATATGGATAAAATTTGTATCAAACCAGAATTTTAACCTGCATTTTCTAAACAAATATGCAAATGCCTAAAGTTTCAAATCTTGTTAAATATTTAAAAAAAATCTATATTAAAACAAAGTACTTACATTCAATTAGTTTTCGAATACGATGCATATCTTGATAATTATAATATAGCAAGCAATGAGAAGTTTTCCCATCACGTCCAGCTCTACCTGATTCTTGATAATAACCTTCAATTGATTTAGGTAATGAATAATGAAAAACAAAACGGACATCCGGTTTATCTATCCCCATGCCAAATGCTATTGTAGCACATACAACCTGAAAATAAATATAAGAAAATTTAAAACTATGACTAACTTCATATCATAACTAAGATTTAATGTTTATAAATTCATTAAAGTATCTCTATACTAATTTTAATAACTTTTTAAGTATTATTTTATTACATTAGTCTTATTGGTGATCCATTTCATCTGAACATCATTACGTTTTGTATCTACAAGACCAGCATGATAGCTAGTAGCTTTAATTCCTTGCTCACACATAAAAGCTGCAGTATCATCACATTCCTTTCTTGACAGACAATAAATTATGCCCGACTGATGTTCATATTTTCTTTTAATATCATTGGCTATTTCAGCTAAAACAGATTTTCCTTTCTTTGGAACAACTTTATAAAGCAGATTTGGTCTGTTAAAACTTGATAAAAATCTGAAAATATTATATAAAATAAAAATTATAAAATCTAAAATTGTTATGACCTAACCAACATAATAAATATTTTTAAAATAGACTTAATATACATTTAATATACATTTAATAATTAATATACATACTAACTTTTATAATAATAATAATAATATATTTTATTATTTGTGACAAATATGAAATATTATTTAAGAAATAATAATTATATAAAAAAAATATTTGATACAAAATAATATTGTTTAGATTCTAAATTTATTCATTTCTATATATAAAAAAAAAAAAAAAAAAATAAATAAATACTTAATTAAAATATAATATTTATATATTTTATTTCTTACAATTTAGTTCCACTAATTTGTAACTGGTGTAGAATATCTTGACGGACACGTGGTGTTGCAGTAGCAGTTAAAGCCATAATTGGAACATTAGGATACTTTTTTCTAAATTCGCCTAAACGTTTATAATCCGGTCTAAAATTAAAAAAAAAAAAATTCATTTTCAGTCAAAAACCAATCACTTTTTAAACATACCTAAAATCATGACCCCAATGAGAAACACAATGGGCTTCATCAATAACAAGACGAGCTAGTTTCCCTCGGCCGTACAAATTGTCTAAAATTTGTCCTAATTTCATACTTGCAGCAATTTTTTCCGGTGTCACATATAACATTTTCAATCCTTTTAAATAATAAATATAATATGGAAATTTTTTTATTATGTATAATAATAAAAATTAATTACCTGGTTCAGCCATACACAATTTTGTAAAGATTATATTTTCTTCTTGATGAGGCATATTACCCAACAAATGAGCAGTTGGAATCTAAATATAGTTAATTATTATTTTTAAAACATCTTTAAGACATATAAATGCTTTTATAATAATCTTAAGTAATAATTACGTCTAAGGATTTTAATTTTTCGGTCTGATCTATGACTAGTGATTTTAAAGGTGAAATCACTAATGTAACTCCATTTGATAAAACTGCAGGTAATTGGTAGCATAATGATTTTCCACCCCCTGTAGGCATCAATACAAAACAATCGTGACCTAGAATGGCTGCATTAATAGCTTCTAATTGATTTGGACGAAAATCACGGAGTCCAAAAGTTGATCTAAATACCTATACAACAGAAAGTTAAAATTGTATTCTATAATAGATAAAATAAAAATATTATTGAAATACAGTTACCTTGAACAGTTCACTTGAATGAGGGTAATTATTTTTTTTGAATTCTTCTACTGAAACAGTTACTTTAGTAAACTTATTTTTACTACATTCATTAGTTTGTTGTGAAATATTTCCAGAAGGAATATTGTAAACTAAAAAAATCAAAATTAAAATATTATTTGATTAATTGTATAAAAGATCATTTATTTTCACCTTCATATTCATTAATATTGGATGGAATTTTTTTTGTTACTATATTTGTGTGCATATCAAAATTATCATTATTGACAATAGAATTCAATTCATTTATGCTTAGACGTTCTCTAGGTTTCAAATATGAGGATGAATTAATTCTATCGGAAAGGTTATTAATCCATAAATTAGTGTTACTACCATTAACTGCATGATTATCATAAGTTGATTCATTTTGAGTAGAATTTAATGATCTGTTTCCAAATTGATTATTACTTGATCCATCAAATTCATTTGTAAAAACTGTTGTTCTTGATTTATTTTCAGAATTATAAAAATCATAACTACTACTTGAAGTAGATGGTTTTGAATTTTCATTCATTAAGCGTGTTTTACCAATTTTTATTTTATTCTTAATTTTTTGTCGAATTCTTTTTAGCTCAGTCAAAACTGATGGACTTTTTAGACTGGGAATGGAAACCACAATATTATCTGGTAAGTCCATCACTGTTTTATATACTTGTTCTAATATATCCAATTCTAATTTTTTCAAATTCATCAAATGTTTTTCTAAATTTGTAATCAATATCTAAATGAAATAATAAAGTTTTAGATGAATACACTTAAATTTGACCATAATATTATTTAAATTATTGAAATTAATGAAATAGAAAGATATTAATTATTTCATAACTGGAAGACAATTATTGGGTATCAAATAAACTAGTGATATATTTCTTTAAATAATAAATACTTACATCAGAAATTGTTTCACCCAAAATAGAACAACTATTGAGATCATTAAGCCAAGTACCTAATTCTGTTGATTGATTTTCTACAATAAATACATAAAGAATTTGATAATATTGTAGATCTTCAAGGTATTTATGAAAAAAAAAAAAATTACAAACCTGATACACTAATTACATCTTTTGAATTGGGTGTTGATACTAAAGAATTTGGTGATTTATTTTTTAACTTTTCTGGTGTTATTAACTGTGGTTCTGTAAATAATAGTGAACTAGTGGATCCATCAATATCTTTAGATGTCTATAAATAATAAAATATTGTAATAATAACTTAAATAAATTAAGTAAATAAGTACAAAGGTTATATTACATTATATTATACTTAAAACAGATTTAAATTTATTGTTGACAGTTTACAGTATATTCTAAAAACTATATATATCATATGATCAAAACCCCAACTAATTGGATTTACAGTTCTTATTTTTGAAACGACCAATTTATGAGTTATAAAATATATTATTTTAATTACTTTATATATTATACTTGCATTGCATTGATTGGATATTTTTTTCTTATCTGGACTAAAAATAATACTGTTACTATCATTGTCATCATCAACAATATAACAACTATCATCTATTTCATTTTTCTGAATATTTGTTGTTGACTCTGGAACAAATAAAAAAATTTATTTTCAATTTTTTAATTTATTAAGTGTGTACAATTCAATTTTACTTACTACTACTTAGAATAGTACTAGTTGTTGTTATGTTGCTTTTAATATTTTCTTCATCACTATCAATCAAATTCAAAATAGATGATTTGGATTTACTAAAACAGTTAGTAAAAACATTAATTTATAATTAGGATATCATTAATAATGTTAATTGACGCGACAATAATTATTTTGTTAAAGAACTACATAAATTACATCAATAGAAAATGTATTTGAAGATTAATAATTGTATATTTTACATTAGAAGCTAATACTATAACATAATAATATTATATATTTATGATTAAAATAAAAATAATATCTTGCACAAATGATTAGCAACTAATGGATTTATATAATCTAATACATATTTTTAGATAAAAAAAGTTCTTACAATTGATTTCCATCCAACTCTTGCTTAGAACTGCTAGAACCAAGACGTTTTAAAACATTGCTTGGTTTTTTTAAGAAAAAATCCATAATTTGAGATAATTTAGAATCTTGAGTAAATAGAATAATACTACATTTAAACTTCAACAGAATGAAAAATATTTTTATTTTTTCATTGACTGACGTTCATTTAATTTCGAAAGTAAATAAATGATATTATGCTGAAGTAGATTTCAGTTGAATTAAATAATTGAAAATATACCTATAAATGATTGAAACTCACGGACACACTACAATATCGTAATAATATTATGACTACATTCGGTATTCTATAATCACACATTGTACACAAAGATCAAATTATTATCAAGCCTAGGCCATATGATTAAATTGGCGCCAAAATGTTTGAAATCGCTAACCATCTGTGATTATGATAATGAAACTGATAATGATATTGATTTTTTGTTTTTTTTTTTTTGTTTTTGATATTACTGATTTTGCGCGAGCGCAAATTTAAATTGTTATTAGGAACTGTACTGCATTACAGTGCTACATCAGTAGCATATACATAATTTAATAACCGTCTTTATCGTCTCTTAAAATAATTATTTCTTATAAATTATGCATTAGTTGATGTTCATATTATTAGTTTTATGTGCATATAACACATTTAAAATGAACAACATACGCTTGACCAATATTTTGAACAATGAAGTATTCTCTTATTCGACTATTTTAATTAAAGGATTTGTTAATGTTAATGTTAATGAAGTTGAGTCAAATTTGATACTTAAACATTACTCTAATCATGGTAAACAATTGGCTGAATCTCGTTGGAGAGTATACAAAAACAGATTTAAAGTAATTATAGAATTAAAGATTGGAGAGAATACATTGGTTTTTAAATTTGCTGATGAAGTCTTGCATACAAAATTGGTGTATAAACAAAGAGTGACAAATTATACAGTATGTCCAGTTTATGTAATATGTGCTGATCATGATGGAAGATATCAGGTAATTTAATTTTTAAAATGTCTACAAGCTGAATAATATTATATATTTTGCATGTATAAGTTTATGCAGTTTGCAAAATATAACTGATACATATATTTGCTTGATTTTAGGCACCTAAAGATCATGATAATTCTGTTCAAAATGCTTGTAATAAAATTACACTATGCTCCAGATTAATTCAAATGTTGACAGCTGAGAAAATGTATGAAAAAGGGTTTGGGAAAAAAACTTTTCAAGTTGAAAAAGAATGTCGTATTATTAAAAGTTCATTAACCAGACGCACAGTGTTCAAAATGCATCCGGAGAAATTATGGGAGTATATAGCCAGAGAGTTGACAGCTGGTAAAAATTCTAAGCATCAAAAGTACTTAGCATTCCTATCATGTACCTATTGGGATGGACAGAATTTACATGGCCATGTTGCATTGGGTGGTGGTGGATTGGCATTACTTGGAACAGGTTGTCTCTACACTTGGCCCACTAAATTAGAGGAAGTCGTACCATGTTTTACAAACATGACAAAAGTTGATACTGGTACATTATTTGACGATAGTTGTTTCAGGTAATTAGTTTTATTGAATTCAAAATTTCATTATGAAAAAATATGTTAATTAATTAATTTTATAGAGGAAATTTTGGTGGATGCTTTAGCACAACCTTAGGTTCGGTTTGGCATGAATTGGGACATACTTTTGATTTGGGTCATTCCAAATATGGCATAATGGGACGAGGATTTGATAATGTTCATTTAATTTTCACATTAGACAACAAAAATATTGCTCAAGAAATTAAGTCAGCCAGCAAAGGATATGTTATATGTGTTGAAAATTATTCAAATACTTTTAATATGAAAGATGATGTGTCAAATAATAATAGTACTAATGCAAATGAAACAACAGACGAGTATGACTCAAAACATATATGTTGGTCTATGGGATGTGCGTCAATTCTTTCGTTTCACAAGTAAAACAATTACTATATATTCATAAATTGTTTTAATTTTAATATTAATGCTTACAATAATAGATGGTTTAATGACTGCAAAGAAGAACATAACAATGAAAATACTATTGAATATGTAGCAAAGAGGTTAGACAATTAAAATTAAAATATTGTAAAATATAAATTAAATTAATTTATAAAATTGTAGGAATTTATTAACATCAACTAATGGCTTAAGAGTAGTTCAATTAAGGAGAGAAGATGGTTTGGTTATGCATTCATGGGAGTTTGTAAAAAATAATAACAAACGGACATTCATTCTTCCGGTACAGCTAGCAAATAATGGTACAACTATTATTGCTGAAGATTCCAATGGTAATATCCTAAAACATTTTCTGTGATTATTTTGATTCTGTTTTTATTTTTAAAATAAATATTTTCTGTTTGTTAAAAATTGTTATTTTTAATTTAATAGTTCATTATTTTAATTACTTTATATTGATTTTTTAAAAATAATTTTTTTCTTTAAAATGAATACTTAGGCAATAATTTATTATATACATTTTTAACTATTATATTATATATAAATTTAGGTAACAAATAGTTTATGATTTAAATAAGGTAAGTAGGAATAGGTAACTAAATACATTTTTTCACTTATTTTATAAAAAATTGTTAATAAAATAAACATGTTTATAATAGTTAATTTAAATATATATTTGGACTTAGGATATTTTAGGTTAGAAAGCTTGTCTACTGAGATCTCAGTAATTTAGGTTATATATATCAATACACATGAATATAATACAAATAATTAAATATTGTTAATATTTAGAAAGAAATATTATTAAATTATTTTTAGTTGATTATCATCGTAAAAATATATTTTTACTTTAAATACCATTATAAAAACAATAATTTTAAAATTTTAAAAAATGATTTTCATAAAAACATATGTTTAATTATTAGGGTATTTTAGATTGTAAAATAAATAATTAAGTTAGTGACTTTGTGATATGTGTACATTTTCTGAAATCCAAGTCATCTATTACTTTTATAGTATAGTTTTCTACTCACCATTGATATTTTATAAATGGGTATACAAAATGCAGAATGAAATTTAGGAAGTAAAACAAAAATTAAAAACTTGAAATATGCTATATTTTAAATAATTAACTCATCATATGTATTACTATGATTTGTAACATGATTAGTATTGTGTTAGCGTCATGCTAATGTAGTTCATTTTATCCTATGAATTGGAGTTGAGAGTACTTGAATAAAGGTTAAAAAATGTTAATATAAAATAAAATACAGCACTTAAATATGTTACTATAACTATTAACATATAATTTTTTAAAAACAATAACCAAACTTGTTAAAGCAATATAAATATAAATTATTTATTAAATACTACGATTCGTCGTTTGAACATTTTAAATTTATTCCTGTGATATTGCATTTTTGACATGTTATATGTATGTTATATATATATTAGATGATCTTTACACACATATTATTAAAATAAAAATATGAAAAAATAACAAAGCTGATTGGAAAAATGTATATTATAATTAGTATTGTATGAGTGTAACATTAATCTTACTGGTGCTATAAACTTTTAATGGATAAAACACTCATTATTATATGTTTATAATTTATTTATTTTTTTTTTCGATTAGAGATACACGCAATTCCAAAACTATCTATTATTATATGAACAAATGGTTCGAAATATAAGTTGAATGTTAGGGAAACACTAATTAATGACATTATAAATAATGAAATAATAAAGAAATAAAAGTACAAATTAAATTTTTTGCTTGAGTATATTAAATATAAAATATACCATAACATTATAATTTATATAAAAACTTTTGATAGGTAGTTAAATTTTAGTGATACATTTTTGTATAAAATATTTCTAATTATTTAATCTTATATTTTGTTAACAAATTGATTTTTTTTCAACTATAAAAATTTTCAATGCCATATTTGTAAATGTGAATTTTTTTTCTTTTTTTGCTATCCATTTATTACTACTTTAAAATATTTTTTGTGAATTATATCTACCAATTACTACTAATTCTTCAAGACTTTTAATTTAGACATTTTAAATGTTGTATGATAGTATCATATAATAGTATATATTATATATTTGACAAATTAATTAAATAAAAAAATATTTTTATTTTATTGATATCAGATATTTTTCTTGCTGTTGATTAATTTATAAAAATTGTATTTCTTATGTTTTAGTTGTATATTTAAAACTTGTAAAACACAATTATTGTGTTAGTTATTCTATTAATTACATCTCTTTTTTTTGTCATTATATTATGATGTTTTACTGATTAAATCATTTTTAACACTTATTAGTCATTTACTATTTATTAATAAAATATTTAGTAAACATTTTAAAATTGTGTTCATATAAAAATGAATAAGTAATTATTTGTAAAATTGTGGTTTGTGTTTGGTTTTTGTTACAAGTATTTATTCTCACCTGAGGTTCATAAAAAGTAAGTGCCAATATGGCTTTCTAACAAAATATCTGTATAATTTACTATTGTTTACTAAAATGTTGAATGGATAAGATCAATACCACTATCTATCTAAAATAGTTTGACCTTGAAAAATAAATAATTGGGGCCCGAACATAACTATGGAAGAAAATCCAGGATCTTAATTAACTTAAGTTAACTCAGGGGATTTACTAATAAAATTAAAATATACTTCAATTTATACATGTCTTACGAACTAAATTTAATTTAAATTATTGAACTATTTAAGTACCTAATATATTTATATTAGTTACATGTATTACAAAAATAAAATTATTTATTTATTTTAATTTCATACTTGTATTTATTTAGTAATATTCTCATTAAATTGTTGATACTAAAATAAATCCCCACATATTGCAAAGCTTTCAAATGCCAATTCATAAACAATTAAAATTTTCTTACTGTTACTATCAAGTAGTGAAATATTATATTACTGCATATTTCTACTTTTTATTAATATATATAATATTTTTGATTATTAATATAAGTGTTGAAATTCTGTTCATTAGTTTATAATTATTTTTATCATATACATGATATTACATTATTGGTAAATTACATAACAAAGAAGTATAAATAATGCATATATATTCATGCAATTAAAATAATCATGACTATTCTATAATATAATATAATTCCTAACCAGTGTTTGACTTGGAAAAATCAAATAAGGAGGACTGTTTACTTAAAAAAAAAGTGTCAAAGTGTCTCTAAAACTTGTTAAGCGTTATAAATATAACGTAATGATGGTTGGGCTACGCTAAAATTTCTAAAAATTAGTTAGAGTACATCATCCCCCTATGTTCTTTTTTAAAACAAGCATTGTTCCTAACTATGAAAAAGCGTGAGGCTCATTGCGGTCGCATTAAACGCGAAACCCTGTGCGACCACATTTCCTACATTCTCCTTGCGCCAGTTCTGCTTTCTTCTATAGTGTATGTATACTATCAATAATAAAAAGTACTAACAACTAAACAAATTTATTATTTAATTTTCTAACATAAATAAGTAGAAGGAAAGCAATATCTAATACCCCATTTACTTTCAGCCATTGCCGCTGTTCCTCGCGCTGCTGTATTTCATTGTCAAAATACTTCAGTGGCAGCGTCGTAGGTAGTGAGCGTCTACATTGCCCTGTTAATGTGTGTTAATATCACGCTGTCGGTTAACCTGCTGCTCGCACTGCTCAATTTACCACTCCTAACGGGAGCGACGGGCAGTGACAATGCGAGGAGCATGATCAGCGCGAGTTACGTGTTCACGTACTCGTGCTGTCCACTTCCATGCCCACTTCCCTGCTCAATGCCACGAAAATGGGCTGAATGTAAATGAGGTATAAGATACAAAGTTTAGAATTCAATGCAGGGAATCATCAAAATTGCCTATGCACTGCGCCGGTATTAAATATTATCAACTTTTTTTTTTTGTTTTTACAACTTCTTTGCTGTATAAGTGTCGATATTTATGTTTCAAATAGTAAATAATTTTTATGACCCAAAATAAAATCATTATTTCAACCATCAGCTTTTATCAAAAAAAAAAAAAAATTCAGAACATAATAAATTTAAATTTTTCTGGATTTATATAATATTATATACTTTGCAGTAGCTGTGTAATACGCGCATTCAAATATGTTCCTATTTGTATTGCAATTGAAGATGAATAGTGAGTATAGGTATAAAACTTTATAATTTTAAAGGAAAAGAACTATTGTTTATAATCATACTATCTAACATATAGTATATTTGCATTATCCCATGTTTATTATTTTCATTTAATGTAGCTAATAACTGTTTGTATTTGTGATTGTGGTATTAGGTGATAAACTATTAGATAAAGATAATATATTTTTTTTTTTTTTTTTTGTAATGATAATAAAATTAATTAATTATTTTCAAATAGCTATATTTTAAAAAAATATTATTGTAGTCTGGAGTTGTATTTTATTATTCATTTTAACTTAAAACTATTTGTGTGAACAAAATTCATAACATATTTTTGGAAATTCCATTCTAAGACGAATCTTTTTCTCGAACAATTTTAGAAGACTAATTTTTTATTCTCAATCGCTATAATTGCATAAAAAGAAAATTTCTGTTGAAAAATATTAATACAATTGTTCCAAAAAAATTTATTTATTAGAATTTAAATTGTATCGTGTTTGTCATTTTTTTTATAGACATTGCATAAAAACAATATACAAAATTTTTTCTACCTACAACATATTGTTCAAATTAAAAGTATATTACATACTTATATTTTTAAAAAGACGAATAGCTAATGATATACAATTACTTTTGGTTTATATTTTAGCTTTGAGTTTAAAATAATTTAATTGAGCTAATTATTCCTTTGATTATTTTTATTTTTATCCAGTTCCGTATTGAGGTCTGGTGGTGCCACTGGTGAATCACTGTATTTGCCCCCCCCTCCCAAAATGGGAAAGTTGAATTTTTGTACAAAAAATCATTTGAGATATATAAAAAATATAAAAATATATATAATTTCTAATAAACTTTAATAATTATATATATTACTTTAAAATATCAAAAACAATTCAAATATAAACAATAAAATAAAAAAACAATAAAAATAAATAATTAAAAAATAATAATTTTCTCCAAATGTTTTTGTTTTACAATTGTGTTAAATGATTTTAAATTTATTTATTACAATATTACATTGGTACTTTTCTTGCTCTCATAGAGGCAAATTTATTTATGACATTATTAAATGGAATTGTTTTAACTATATATTTTTCATATTTCATGAAAAATATTACTTAAGTAGCGTTAAAATTTGCGCTCCTTTTAGAACTACGGCCCTGTTTTTATCCTAAGTAATAATATAATTATGTATAATTGTAATATTGAATATTGCAGGACAATAAAGCAAGATTTTTTTAATAAAAAATAGCAACAATATTAAATTTTAAAAAATATGTTTACTTTTATTGGGAACACAATTTTTTCTATATATTACGTTTTTGATATACAAGTATGTATATTATATTGTATATTTACAAATAAATTATTAATATAATGATGTAAATAGTTTATTTACTAAAAAAATTAAATATTATGTTATTTTTATTAATGGTATATTTCCATACATCGGTGAAAATATTAAGTGTGTATTTTTTGTTACATTTTTTTAATTTAAAAATAAATTTAACATAATTTTAGATAAGAAAACGTTTTGATCAACATACATTGGTTAGTATATATTATACAATTTATTTTTGATTGATAAAGTATTTTCGTAGCCATTTTTTCATGGAAAAATGAGATCAGTCTTATTCTAATGGCATCATCATTTTACTGCAAATTTTTTCAATAAGAAGGGATCCAATAATATTTTTATTGTATATTTCACCATTTTAAAATATCACCGCTAATTTTCGATTTTTTAACATTGATCTTACTTTGCTATTTAGAATATTTATTTAAAAACTTTGTACCATTGTTAAATTTTTTTTTTTTTAATAACTTTTAATTCTAATAATTTGAATGTTTGATTTTAAAATTAAATTCATATATTTTGGATATTTATATAAAGTATAGGAAAATACATGTGTTTAATTTTTTTTTTATTTATAATCCTTATAAGTGTTAATACAATACGAGTATTACTTAAAGTGGTTTTAGCATGAAACATTAATATCAGTTTTTATGTAGTGTGTTGGTATCAATAAAACTTCAATTGCATACTTCGTTCAAGTGTAGCACTACACAGATAATGAAATTTCATTTGTGTCATTTTAGTCATTACTCTAATGAATTACATTATTCATTCAATTTTGCATAAATTTAATTTAAACAATAGTAACGTTTACAAATGTCGAAGGCATTTAACAATTGTTATTATGAACCACGAATGAACATTTCAACGTTAATTAAAAACAAGTATTTTCCCATGTAGACATTATAATATCCTTAATTGGTAATATTTAAAGTGTAAAAGAAACGTAATTTGGCTATTATACCAAACATTTCTATACTGTATATAAGTTTTGAAAAATATCTGTCAAGTTTCCACGAGTTACCGATACGTACAGAGATATATAACGAGTGATAGTTAATACCGCGAATTAAATTAATTTTTATACTGTCAAGTCGAACGTTAAGTAACCGTAAGTGGATTGATTTAATATTAAAAAAACATTTAGTAAACGATTAAATTTCAAACGCTTCGACGTATTGATACTAATGCACGGTGTATATTGTTGTAAAGTCAGATGCTCCGATACATTTTGTCCGGAACGCGTTAACATTAGTATTAACAACAGTTAATACGTTCAACCAATCCGATATATATATATATAAATATACATATTAAGTAACTTGTATAGTTTTACGATATAAACGATATACCTCTACTAGAACAGCAATTGACATGCGTCTTACACAATCGAAACGGCAACAACACCTTGCGCACGACCTTGGTCCGTTCCGATTTTGAAAACGTCCATGTAGCTGGCCCGGTGGCTAAACATTCGTCGGCACAACTGTCATTATTAATATTTATAGAGGTACGTACGGTGTTCCGTGATACACAAAAAATACTCGCATGTACGTAACGTAATACATTGTTTTTTTTTTTTTTTTTTTCAAAGCTTCCATTGTGGACCGTAACAGCTCGTAATATGTACACGTGTTCAGTGGCTTGCGAACGGGGGGCGGGGACACGGTTCGGGATTGATCCAGTTCCGGGGACGGTTAGAATAAAAACCATGCGGATCACGAACACTTTGAAGCGCGCATAAAAAACGCGGTTATTTGTCGACCGCGGCGGGATGACGAAATGATTAATTTTTCGTCCGGTGACCGATAAAAATTGACGTTCGATATCGACGTGGAAACCATGTACACAATGAAAATGGCCGCCCACCCCCGGTCCACCCGACGGAAAAAAATTTAATCAACGCCGCACTCCGCTGTGCAGGCACTATAATACGTCAACACCGGTTAGCCGACGTCGCGTTTAATGTTTATTTTCCGTGTAAGTGTATCCGTACGCGTACGGTACGCAAACACCTGAGATCCGACAACGGGGCAGCGATCCAGTGGGGAGGGGGGCGAGGGTGATGGCGGTAAAGACCGAGGTGACAGACGTCGGCGTCGCCGTTGAGGTCAGTCGGCGGCAGTCACAGTTCGGCGCCATGAACGCGTTCACGGCGGGCGCGATCGTACCGCCGCTGTTGCCGCCGTCGCAGGCCGTCGTAACGGACGCCGACGACGGCGGTGCGCGGATGCCGGCCGCGGCCGGTGGCCTGAACGTTCCGTACGCCGTGCTCGAATGTCTGGTGGCCGTAGGCGCGGCCGTCGGCAACGCGTTGGTGATCGTGGCGTTCCGCCGGGAACGCCGGCTCCGCCGTCGCACCAACTATTACATCGTGTCGCTGGCCGTCGCCGACTTGCTGGTCGGCCTGGTCGGCATACCGTGCGCCGTGCTGTCCAGCGTCGGTCTCCCGCGGCACCTGCACCTGTGCGTGTTCTCCGTGTCGCTGATCATCGTCCTGTGCACCGTGTCCATACTCAGCCTGGTCGCCGTGTCCGCCGACCGGTACTGGGCGATACTTTACCCGATGGCCTACTCGACCAACTCCAACACCAAGATCGCCGTCAGTACGTGTGCACAGCTTATACATATATGATCTTTTGACGAATGAACCTAACAACAGTGGCGTAGGAATACTAGCGCCACTGGCAAACTTAGAAAAAAGCGCTTTTTAACCAATTAAAATTCGATGTTATGATATTTTTTTTTAATCTTTAATTTTACTATTTTTTTTTTAAGTATACAATTTATATTTATAAGTTATTATTATGGTGTTAATTTTAATCTTTGAAAATTTGCTTTCCTCGCTTGTTGACTTTATTCCTTCATACAAATTTTTTATTTAAACGCCCTTGTGCTATTTTCATGATTTCATCATTAATTTCACACGTATTGTGTACAATAGACAGCATCTACGTATTTCAAAAGTATACCGGAAAAATTTCGATTTGATTGTAAGATAAAAATACGACTTTTACACAATTTTGTGCCCCTTTGCAATTCGCGCTCCTTTCGTAGGCACAGTTCGCCATACCCTTGCTACGCTATTACCTAACACATTCGGTTCACGAACCATTAAAACGTACACGAAGTTCAAAATTTAATTGAAAACTCACATTGCGCAAAATATTATATTCTCAATTTTGAGTTTAAACGAAAATTTATTCTTCGGCTTATACGTTGCCATTGTAATAAATATTTATCAATATACTATTTTGTTTTAATTAACCATAACCAAATTATTTATTACTGGTTGTAATTTTGTTTCTCGTTATTCGCATTAAATTGACAGTGATTTTACGTTCTCTCACTCTCTTAAGAGTCTTGTAACTGAGTACGATTTATCGTTCATAGTTGTAGTATATATACATATGTCTATATCAAATCATAATCTAATTAATACTGAAGTGTCTGCAGTGAAGTATTTAGGTAAACATATATTATCTTTAAATTCGAATAGATATTAAATTGAATTTCCTTTTTAGAGATTTTAATTCAACACATTTTTCGTAATAATTTTTGATCTAATAATAAAAAAAATATTTCATTATAATCTTATACGTTTTTAAAATTTATAATATAAAATTGTAATAGTTGATTTTATATTAATTTACTCCGGTCACCGTTACATACCGATTAGCACTGTTGATAATTGTACTAATGCATTGTTTTCAAATAAATTATTGAGAGTTTATCAACAAATCAACTTAAGTTAGTCAAATATAATTTGTTGGCATATTTTGTAGTAGTGGTGTACCTATCAAGTACTACAAGTTGGTTTACAGAGTTCACTTGTTTTGGCTATTACAAATCTATTAAAGCGCTTAATAGTTCAGTTTAATTAGATTCAAAATTAAAATTAATTCATCTTACTACCTCCTCTAAATTTTGGCCCAATACATTTTTGGTGAACATTTATTGTTCAAAAGTGTACTTATAAAAGATAAAAAAAAAATGTCATTGTTCATCTTATTTTTCACTTTAATCAGATTATTAAAATAATATTTTTCACAGAAAAGTAAGACATTAACAAATGTGTAATCCTATTCAATTAGTTAGATATGTTAATCGTAACTAAATATTAAGTGAAAATTGTAAGTAACTTAACACAATAATGTTCATTATATTTTTTGTACATAATCTTTTGTAAAAGTTTGACTATAGCTTAAAGATAAAATTATTATATAACACTTGTTTTCATAACCATGAAATAATGTCATAAAATATATTAAGACTCATTAAAAAGTGACACCTAGAGTGTGTTATGAATTTGAAATTTGAAATTTGCACATTAATACTTTACTAATTTTTTCACATCAAGTACATAAACATTATACACAATAGTAATAATAATACTAGCTGTATAATTCGGCAATGTCATTAAAATATCCTATGTAACATAAGCACTAACGTATTCGTAGGCGCCACATAATCACGTTCCACTGTTTTGCGATATTTATGCCGATATTTCACTAATATGTTACGCGTATTAATTAGTACCATCTTACATATTTTGCATACTAATTAATATTTACTTATTATCTAATTTTCGTGTCACGAAGTGTTTAATGAATAATTAACAATACACGTGATTATAATTTAAAATGGATTGATACATTTTAACATATAAATACCATTAAATGTGGTACAAGGATGAAATGTATAGTTTAGTATAAATTTATATATATATTAGAGTAATCGTTTAAATCGGTATTACACTTGTGTGATAGAAATACATGGTACTTTTAATCTTTTAACTTTTAATATTTTTATTTACGTTTTTGTTTGCCAATATTGAAAAATACTATTTACTAGTTTTCATGTCATTGACACGATTAATATAGTAATATATATTTGCCTGTTGGCTACAAATAATCAAATTTCAAATTTACCTTTAATATTAATGTTCACATAAATACATGAAATAACACCAAACAATTAAACGCCATAGTGCATATTATAAACATCAACAATTAACTAATCAATCGATTTCAACTACTCCGTTTTAAAATGCATTTATCGTTATACTAGATATTATAATAATTTTAAATAATTGTTATCATTATAAGTAAATAAATAAAATTTATTCTCTTGAAATGTTGTTTAAAATATGAATACAAAAAGAAAACTTAGTAATACTTTTCCACTCACTATTTTTTATTACATCATTAGATTTATAGTATTTATATAATTATTTTAAATTTTAAAATGATAATAAACCGTTGCATTTAGAAATACAATATGGTTTATATTATTAAGTATTGATCTAATAAAACATTGTATATTTTAAGTATTCATCAGTATCCATCAGTATTCATGAGTATCATTATCAAAAAAAAAAAAAAAATTCGCAAAATGACATATTGTTAAATATCATCTTGTTTTCATAATAGGTATTAATATCTTACGAATCTTTTCGAAAAAATAAATGACAATAAAAATATTAATTATTACATTCTATTAAATTCATGGAGAAGTATAAATTATTTTTAGAACGAAAAATAAAATCATTGAAAATTATAGAACTATTTCATTATACATTAGTAAGTATATATTCATATTAAGTTATTACGTTTTTGGCGGTTTTAAGTTTTAAGTGGCTATAATCTGATTTTAATTATACGACAGCATTTCTATTAGCTGATAAAATAATATTTTTGGTTTGTACTATGGTTATATGAACTGTGTAAGATTCTAGTTTGTATTTTTTGTACAGTAGTGGTGAGGGATAATTTATAAATAAGGCGTCATTTTAAAAATATATTTTATGCTAAGTTAACTTAAAACTTTGATGTTAACTAAAGTAATGATTTAAAAACAAAATTTCAAAAAATATCACACAATCAATTATTTTTGATCAGTTAAGTAGGTATACCTTATTGTCATTATCTGTGATTATTTGTATGTATATGGTAATTTAATAAATTTTTTAAAAAAATGTACGATATTTTTTGTTTTAGGTATAATAGGTGTTTGCTGGATAATGGGTTTATTAATAGGGTTCATGCCCTTAATGGGCTGGAGAGCAGCCAAAGGTCCCACATTGGATTCTTGCGAGTTCAGTAGCGTGATGGATTATAACTATTTAGTGTTTTTATATTTAGCAACTATTATTCTACCAGCAATCTTTATGGCTACTTCCTACGCTCATATTTATACAGTAGTGATAAAGCAAGTAAGCATGACCATTAACAAGTACAGATATTTTGTTTATTTTATCACATGTAACTAATTTCGTTTTTAAAAATGTACAGACACTTCATTTAAAAATTTTAAGTGTAAATATTACCTATCTATAGAATTAAAATTAAATATGTTTACTGATAAATCTTCTTCCAATAAAATACAAGTGTGTGTGGTGAATGATGAGTTATTGAGATGTTAAATCGATAATTTTTAAATTTTAAAATCATTATGATGTAATATATGAATTAACAAATAAATAGTTTATATATATAGAAATAAATAATGCTTAGCCAGAAATATTATTATATTTGTTAAGTATGACCAGTTTGAAATTAAAAATTCATCGTCAGGAATATACAAGTCATTAAAATCAGAACTCTGACTTATTGACTTTGTACATACCTATCGATGAATTTTTAATTCGAAACCGGTCGTACATTACAAATATGATAATACTCCAGACTAAGCATTTATTTATTTCTACGTATAAACTATTTGTTTACTTATTTATATATTAATTTACGATCAATGCAATTTAAAATATAAAACTAAAAAATTGGTTATTGTATAATCTAATGAATATGAACCAAAATCAGACTTACTTGAATGACTTAAATGTATACTCCGTATGAAACGATAATATATGAATAAAATATTAAATGTATTTTTCTTATAAAAACACACAAAATAAAAAACGTTACTTTCAAATGAATTTTCATTATAGTCTTGTTAAGAATTTAAAAAAACACAGCAAATATTACACAACTATGTACAGTGCATACAAGCAAATAGCATTAAAAAATACCTAGTCACATTAAATACAATTGTTTGAAGTGTATTTTTCGTGTAAACGAGTACGAGGAATATGGCAAAATATAAATATTATTTATAATAATGTACATTTGTGTTTAGTGTACCTACATATAAGGTATTTAAAATAAATAACAATGCGAGAAAAACATATATACATACAACACTATACTATATAGAACTACAGAACGATTAACGTACCAATGAGAAAATTTAAGTTATTGTGCATATATTATTTGAAAACTATTAATTTGGTATTATTATATAATTTGTTAAATAGCTTTATCCCTTTTCATAATAGTAAATGACAGTATAGAGCCGGCTTTAGATACGATCGACGTGTGCGATGGCACAGGGCGCTAAAATCAGAAGGGCGTATGATATGCGTTAAAATTAGAAATAAATTTTATGAAACTTTGCCGATGCAAATTATATAATATAGGTAGAAAGAATAATAATTTTTTCAATGTGATTTAATATAAATTAATTTTATCATTATTATTATTGTTTATTATTATATCGACACGCAAGTAGTGGCTGATTTTCTCAGTACGATTTATAGATATGTGGCAAGTATGGTAATTTGAAAAATTATTTTGAGCATTTTTGATTATGATTGGACCTCTCCAGCTTCCCTGTTTAAGGTAAATGTTTAGGTCGTTTAAGAGGGAAGGGCGCCAAAATAATTCTTACGCTTGGTATTGAAAGAACTAAAACAAACTTTGAGACCGTATAAGAATTTTATTTTTTTAAACGAAACCTATAATTTTATATTTTTATCTTAGTAAAGTGATTAAAAATGAGTTTATGTTTTACAAATGATAATACGTAATCGGTTTAAGTATACTCAATATCAAACACACGTGATGAAACAATAAAATTATTAAAATTTATCGGACTGGAGGAATACACTGTTCAATACAATGTGTTTTATTTACTTTTAGATCGCCTTTTTTTTTTATTTCTTTCGTCTAAACTTCATAAATATATAATCTGTTAACCTATTGATTTACAGTTTAAAATCAATATAGTCTAAGACCTCCTTTCCGATCCTTTTTATAATCAACGAGTGAGGAAAATTTTTTTAATTTTATGACTGACAAAAAAAAAAAAAATTAAAAAAATACGAACCGCTAATATTTTCTTACTAAAATATAACGTCAAAAAAAAAAAAAAAAAAAAAAACGAAAAAATCACTTAAGTGTACAAATACTGAAATACCCGTATTAAATACATATATGTATATAGTTGTGTAAATATGTGCGCTAATATGTACGTGTAGCGTATGAGTGACGTCGTATACGAAAATATACGGAAATTCGTGTTATTCGACACTATACGAATATGTAGTTGAATAACGCAATGCGTCCGTGCACCGGTAATGCGATTGCGACGGAAAAAAAAGGCTGCATTCGAGATCTGTCCCAAAAATAAAAATTTAATTTAAAAATATACTAGTTCCGTCCCGGGTTTTTTAAATAGATATATCAATTCCGTCCCTTGATAAATCGAATAAATAACAATATCATTTTATTCAGAAACAAAGATAATAAAGATAATATTATTTCAGCTATTGAACCAAATAAACTTTTCAGTTATTATTTGTGCATGTCCGTGCCATTTAATATATATATATGTATATATAAATTAATAGTACACAATAGTGATGGGAATTATACGAATATTTGAATATTCGAATATCAGTATTCGATGCAACAATACAATACGTAACGAAAATTATTCGTTTAAGTTTTCGCGCTACGCAAAACGTTTAATAATAATATTATATGGCTTATGGTGCATAAAGGCCTGCATGAAGTGGATTCGAAGCCAGTGATACTATTTGACAGGGCAATTAAAATACAAAAATAAATATTATGCAAAATACTCGAAAATCATAATTAAATTATTATTAATACAATGCAAACTATAAATCACTATAGCGCATATGATTGTATGTTAAAATATACGTCTACAACGAGTATGGTTACTACGAGTTATCGGCTATAACGAGTAAAATAAAGCTAACTACGAACAGGTACCTGCAAGATAAGAACTATTTTCGTATTTAGGTCGATTAATCATTGACATACATTATCTTTAGTTGTGTAGATATGGATTATTTATCAATAATAAATAGTATAAAAAGTTTGTCATAGAAAAACGGATAAAACAAATTAGGTATTGTAGCATCGAATACTGATATTCGAATGATTGAATATACTTTACATTACTAGTATACAATATATGTACAGTGAAAAAAGTAAAATTTAAATTATTAAAAATGAATTTAAATTTTGCTTTCACAAAGAATTAGGCAAAAAAATTGAACGACGGTAGTGTATTAAAAAACAATGCAAAGCATGTATAGAAGTTGAT